CTGCTGCTGCTGCTGCTGCTGGTCACAGGTTCGGCGACGGTTGGCCGGAACACTGAGGAAGAGGTTAAAATTAAAAGTGGATGACAAGAATCAGTCCCTGCCTTTTGTTTCATGCTCACCAAAAAAAAGCTATGTTTTCAATCCAACGTCGAGTTGGCATGGACCCCTTGTCAGAAAGGCATTCGAAGGCAAAGACAGAAGACTGGTCCAGCATCAAGGTCCCAAGAAGAAGGTCTGTGACAAGAATGAAACCGCCGATGTCAACGAGGGGCAATGTGCTCCAACCAATCCAGTCACCTCATCGACCTGGTCGTCCTCAAGCGAAGCAAATCAATGAATAGCTTTTCCGAGGCACCGAGCGAGGAGACATTCCTCTTCATGCGGTTGTCCTCATACTCGCTGTCATTGTTCAGATCGTGGCCAGGATCCTGAGGCTCAACTTGTTCAAGTGGCTCAAACGCCTTCACCCAGCATGCTACCCGACCTGTGACATTCCCGATTTCCCCGTACTGTTGAAGTTCCATAAATTCCCGAGAAGACCTGTGATCAAGCTCATGCTGGATCCGAATCATAGACACATGAAGCGCATGGACTGCAGCAAGCCTCCATTTTCTATCTCTGGCAGTCGCGTCCTGTTCTTCTTGCCCTGACAGCTGGCCTTTGTCATTCATGACTTGCGAGCTGCAGAGCGGCTGTAAACCTGCAGCTAAGAGTTGCGCGCACATGGGCTGGCCTTGCTTTGTTGCAGTCTCCATCGCAGACCAAACGCGGTCCTGTAATTGAGAGTCTCGGGCTGTGGCGCAATCGCAACGGAAATGGACCTTGCCTGTGTGTCTCGCTCAGGACCTGGCAAGAGACCATGCTGGACATGACGCAAATACCGGTGGTACTCAGGCATGGGGTGTCTTGCGTTGGTGCATGCGGGTCAAGGCAGAACTGTGTGTGAGGAAGGGCGAAAGAAACAGCTGAAGGGATGGTCGTGGGTGGTTCGGCTAACAGTGCCGCAGGGTAGTTGCACGGCCGGGCAGTTGTTTTGTGGCAGCACGGACTGTCTCACCCGATATGCTGTTTGCCATCAGGCACCTTGGCACAAAGCGGTTTCAATCTTGAGTGTGCTGGGACCAGAAAACGTGATTCCTCGTGGACATCCGTCAATCATGAAGCTGTGTGAACCCGTCACACACGAACTGATTGCAAGCTTGTTGCCAGAGTGCACTTGCGTGCCGCCTCCTGCACCAGGTGTGAGAATCTTTGGTAGAACTCCATTGGGAGCTTGAGGTGACCTTGGCACTGTCTTAAGCGCATCGACTAAAAGGGCAAGACATGCTTGATCTCTGCAAAGGCTTGCGAGAAGGTAGCGGTCATAGGTGAGCAGGCCGTTAACTTCAGTTTCCACATCATTCCATTGAGTGTATATCGCAGCACCCAGGCCAGTGCCTCTGCTTCCATGGGGCGGCTGTCAGCTGAAACTCGCCAGCTGCTTCCTACGTGCCCTGACGTACATCAAAAGCAGACAAGGCGCAAATGGATTCAACTAAGCGGAGCAACAGCTTCTCCAGAGCAGAAGCGTAAACATCCTTGGACATGGGCAGTTGCATGGTTTATGCAGCTACGAGTACCGAGAAGGAGAGCTGCCCCAACTGAGCGAGCAACATCAAGCAACCCAAATCTTGTATTGTATGGCAAGCTTCTCTGCTCTGTTTGACTCGTTTCTCGCCGTACCCCCACGTTCGGGAAGACCAGCAATGGCCGTCGACCGCGTATCCCACGCCTCCATATTCACCCAGGGCTGGGATGCGGCCTGACGTCGCCATAACACCGCGGCTAACAACAGAACTGCCTTCTGCAATCAAGCAAGTAAGCAACCAACCAACAAGGTGAGCCTGAGAGCAACAAGGCATGTGCACAATTTTTTGGCTGCCAGCATGCGAGCGCGCGTGCCACGGCCATCAGATGCTACCCTCCAGGCACAATCTGGTCACACTAAACACGCCACACTTCGAGGGCTTCTGCAGGAACCGCTAGACCAAAAGCTGATCGCCACTTCAGGGCAAGGCCTTTCACTGCCACGCTTTCTTGAAGAGGGTGTCGGCCCTGAACAGCCCGGACCGTCAGCTTCTTTGTGCTTGGCCCTTGCCCTCGTCCTGGCCCCCTGGCCCAATGCAGTCGAAAGTGTGAGGCCAACTTGTCCTCGCCGCAGCCGTGATTCGTCAGATCGCAGAAGCCGTGTGCAGGGAAGTCGTCAGAGCATTTCAAAGCAAGATGTCCACCTCACAGCGAAGTGAAACACATGCTCGGTAGGCACAGCCTACAGCAGCCTCGAACATACCTTTCCTGCTAAGAAGTCCCTCTAACTGACCACTCTCAGCTTTTTGAAGCTTCAGGTAGCTCCTGCCTGACTGTTCTGCTGGCCTTGGAGAACAAAATCTGTCCGTTCCACCTGCAGCGGGCGCGTCCGGACGGAGTCAACTCGCAACCGTCGGCCATCGTGACGCAGCAACTTGCTCAAACGCTGGCGCTGAAGCCAGACGGACCAGAGCCGAGCATTGTCAGCCTGCAACAGGAATGCAGTCCAAAGCCACTTAAGCACCTTCTAACACTAACAGCAAAAGAGCAATGCGCTTTCACCAAAAGCCGCATCTTTTGGACTGGATCTTAACCCGCCGCCTCGATTCACCTCTGGTGTCGCCATGAATGACATTTTTTGTCAATGCAAGCAATTGGGTCGGTTTGTGATGGCATGACTGAAGCACCCTTGTTCAGGGAAGCTTTCTCCTTTGACAACAGCAAAAATTAGCCTGAAGCACTCCGAACAGCAGCCTTACATCCTAAACTCAAGCTTAATGTTGAAGCGTGCCTCGACCTCAGCCTGGACTTCGGGCAATTCTGGCCCACCGTCCAGTGTTACACCGTCGCTTCTGGCGCGAGGGTCACGCAAGGAGCTCTCGAAATCCGAGCAGGAGACTTGCATGTCTGCGTTTGCCACGAGCATCCTGCCCCAGGTGCACTAGTAGACTAGTGACAATAGTGCAAGCATCTCCTTCTAAAAGTTGGTGGTTTCTTGGACGTTACATGTGCTCCCTGATGCCATGCCCTGGACACACAAGCTCATGAAAGAAACAAGCCCCATTGCCCAGCATCTTGCGAGCTACGCGCGCCTGGTGTTTACCAAGGCCGCGGAAGGCATTGCAGCCAAGACGGAGGACAGTGTGACTGCAAGTGCGCGATACTTGCGTACTTTGCACTCTCTGGCCAGGGCACGCCGGTTCTCTAAGTCCTCGGACTTGAGAAGGAGAATGGACTCAGGATGCGACGCAGCAAGTCCCAGTAGTACGAGCAAGGCATCCAAGTTAGCAGAGGCAGGCCTGCAGGGTGGAATATGCGTGGTGAGGCCAACCAAGCAGTTGCAGGTGCAAGGATCCAATTTGCTTTGTGCTCCATCGCATTGTCACAGGACTTGATACTGTAGAATCTCATAAGTTTTCCAGGGTTTGGAAGGCTTTGGTGTAGCTTGGCTGGTGGGTCGTATTTTGCTCATGCCGGAGAGTTCGTAGGATTTTGGAGGACCTTCTTCCGCCTTCATAGGATCCTCTGAATGTTTTAAGCACATACAAGAATTGAGCCCGTAGTAATGGATCTGAGAAAACATTCCAACTCTAAAAGTTGTGTGTTTCCACGCCCTGCCTTCACGAAATGTATGACAGTACTCGTGACGCTAAGCATTCCAGTCACACAATTCTAGTGCTGTTGAGTAGTAACATTGTATGTCAGAAAAAAGTAGGACTACTCATCATCAGAAGTAGGTTGCTAGTGACAATAGATGTACTATTAACGGTAACAGTCGTAGCCACAAACCTGACAATCCTCAACATGGTAAATCAATAGTCAGGAATGACGGTACTCGTACTGCCCATGAAAAAACTGCAGCAAACTTAGGTGGTGCCACGTTTCTGAAACCGGAGAAAAAGAAAACCCAAACCTCACAAAACAACTAGAACTCCAGATGCCAAGGACCTCATAAAGAGGTATCCGTGTGGAGCTCTGCCAGGCCAACCTTGTGAGTCGAAGAGATCCTGTAGGCTCTGGATAGTCTCTGGGCCAGCGCGACCCAGGATCTGCTCTCTCGCAGGGACGTCTTTTGCTACCACAGACCGTCGATGCAAGGTAGTGTGGTAATATGCATAAATCACGGCCCATGCGTCTGTTGGATCTATCTGAACCGCTGTTCTATCCCTTCCAAGCATCTTGTAGCACAGATCAGGGATAGAGTCCAGCGTCAAGTTACTGTGAGCATCAATCCACTGAGGTGCAAAGCTAGCAGCAAAAGCATGGAGTGGCAGCTTCTCAGTCGAAGGCTGTGCGATTATTCCCACGTCCCGAGACAGCGACGGCTCAGGTTTCGGCATGTTTGGAACTCTCGCCATCCATTCCGCCCTGCGCTGTTGCGCAGGATCATCGTCAGGAGATCCAGGAAGCTGAAGGAAAATCACATCTGCATTAACACCAACAAGATGGTCAGAACCCGAGGAATAGAATGCCAGATCCTTGACAAGGCGAGCATGCCGGACTGGATGTGCGGGAAGACCTTGTTCCACTAGATCCCGTACCAAATCCACCGCTCGGATCCATTCGTCGTTCCAAAGGGCTGCATCAATCAAGAGATAATACACTTTCATCCAATGCCTACTCTTTTGTAATTCCGCTGCAGCAGCTGCCCTGGCTGACTCTGTGGCCGAGGTGTCCCCACACATCTTGCGGAGCCTATCCCTGTACTCCATCACTGGTGTTTGCATGTCCAGAGCAGACATCCAGTCACCTGCGACAACATATCCTTCCATCAGAATGCGGAAGGACATGGTGTTGGGTTCCATTCCCACTTCTTTGATCTTCTCGAACATCTGCAGCGCGGCGGCCATGTCACCCCTTCGGCACTGTATGCCCATCATGACATTGTATGCAAAAAGGCCAGCAAAGGTTGGGCCTATAGACGCCAATCGCTGGAAAACGCGGACTGCGTCCTCATAATAGCCTGCCTGTGCCAGACCTACAAACACAGCCATATAATGTTTTGCTCGAGGTCTCACGCCGTCACCACGCATTCCGGTGAGCAGCCTGACTGCAGTTTGCAGTTGCTCTTCAACCACCAAAGCTGCCAGTATGTATTGATATGTAAATTGGTCCCAGGAAATTCCTGCTTCTCGCATTCTGTTAGCCACTTGCAAGGCCATCGTCAGCTGTCCTGATTCGCTGTATGCCCGAATCAGCGCATTGTAGTTGAGTCTCTCTGGCGTGACTTCCATCACCTCCATCAGACGCAAGAGCTGCCGAATCTCTGTTGCTGCATCAGCATGCCCCCAACAAGCTTGCTGCAAGATGCCGAATGTGACATGAGAAGGGCGGATTCTTTGCTGCTGCATTACGCCGAGAACTGTGAAACCATCTCGCAAGCGACCCACGCGCCGGTAGGCTGCTAGCAAGGTGTTGTAGACGAAGTCTCTGTCATACCTGCAACTGGAGCATCAAGCGTGCTGGTCAAACACTTGCAGCACTGTCTGCTCACTACAAGTAGCTCGCCTATACTTAGACTTCAAGAACTCCGGTGTTCAAGCCAAGGTACGTGTTCAGCATTGTGCCAGATCTCCAGCTTCTGGTCAGCATCTCGCCTTTGCGCACAAACTTCTTGGCCATGTCGAGATCATAGCTGGAGTGCACGACTGCCAGCATCAAGTAGAAAATCGGATCGGGTTTCGAAACCGCCGACAAAGACCTGGAGAGCAGCTGCCTTGCAGCCATCAGACCCTTGCTTGCGGCAATAGCTTCGACAAGAACACAGTAACCCGCTTCTGGCGGTTCCGGCAATCTAGGATCGGCCCCTCTCTCCATCTCGCTGAGGAGGCTAAGGGCCTCATCTGGAGACTCATGAGAGTCAAGAGAATTCAAAGCCAGTGCGTAGAGCACTGCCACCCAAGTAGTAGCATCTGCATGCTGCTCGCGGAGCCATGGCTCCAAAAGATGATATAGTTCGACACTTAGGCTTGGAGGCACCTCTCGCAAGCGGAACTCTCTCAGCACCCGAGTAAAAAATGTGAAGTCCTGCCGTAGGCATTCGTGGGCAAGGGCTTCAAGCAAGACTGAGGTGTCGCTGCTCCCGACAGACAAAGCCACTCGCGCAATTACCTGGTAGTCACGCATAGAGCACACGCGACGCAACTTGACGGCCCAGCTGGCACTTGCTGTGCCGATGCTCCCTCCATCAGATTTACGACTTAGCGAGATCGAGGTCTCAGGTACAAGTCCACCTTCTTCCGTGACCGCAAGGGCCCCTTCACTCACACTTCGTCGCAGCGTTAGCGAGTAGTTCAGAAATCTCTGAAGAACACCTTTTCTGCTACGGGCGCTCCATCGTGAGCGGGCTGCCATGACAACAAAGCTAGCTGCAGCTCCAAAACGAAGGGTCCGGCTTGTAGCGCATGCTCGCGGAAGAGCTTCGCTGACCTCGGTGGCCTTATACTTCAAGCGTGATGGGGCCGACAAATGATGAATCCAGGGAGTGTGGTCAGCATGCCGCACGCTTGCGCTGCTTGCGACCACAGACAAAGTGGATTGTTGGCGCATTTTATGCTGCCACTTATCTTGGGCCCTGAGCATTGCGAGAAGCAAGCCATGCAACTTTGGAACAGAAATCTGCAGCAAACAAAAGCACCCTGGCACACCTTGCTGCGAAACTCCGAAGGCCTGCGAGGCTGTAGCCCCAATAAGCAAAGCTTTCGAAGCTCATTGCAAGGGGGCCGAAGATGGATGAATTGTCCTCCTCCACATACAAAGGTACGGCGACGCTTTTGAACATCCGGACACGTAAACAACCGAACAGGTATATTATACTACCTCCGCAAAGCATGGCGTCCGGCTGCCCACGATCAAAACATCGGAATTGAATCTAAACAGGAAAACATCCGGATTTAACTAGATCTTTTACACTACCTCCGTGGCACGTTGGGGTTGGCCGCCCTCCACTCATTTAAGGAATGTCACCGTATAGTAAGAGGCATTCGGCTCTGCCACAGCCGAGGCGCATAGTTGTGAATATCAGCGAGGTCACCCAAAGCGTGCCCGCCAAGCTCATTCCACCCGCTGCTTGCCTTAGGTACAAAAGCCGGCTTGGGTTTCAGGATGCTTCAGGGCCTGCAACTTGGAATTGAACATCGATCCTTACATCACGCATACAAGCCTCAACCCGGGCCATGGGGCCCTACCTCATGCGGAAATATGACAATCGCACAATCTCGCCACGTTTTGACAGTGTCCGATTACTTTGCCGGATGGAATTCGAAAGTGTGTGTTAGAAATACCAGAAGGTTTGTCATCAGGGCCATCACCTGGAAGCGAAGCAGCAGAGCCTGAAGGGCCTGATCCTTAACACGCCTTATCATGTGCCAGCCTGGCTGCACATCTGCTTCTTGTACAGCCCTGTAAGTCCGCAGAACAATCACCTCCAAGATCTCTAAAGCAAGTGCCTTGCTCCGGTACCACTGGTAACCCACAAGAGCTTTGGACGCAGGCTGCCAGGGAGGCCTGCAGGATGGTACTGCAGTTTCGGCCTGCCTGTTGAGTAAATGAGTACGGGTCTTTCATTGAAGGATGGAAAGTCCATGCGTCCAAGACACATCTATGAGACGATGTGGGTCAAGGTTCCTCAATAACTCCACCAACGCCTGTGTGAAGATTTGAATGGCACACTGACATGGAGGTCAGAAATCCTCAACTCCCTGCATTGGGCCTTCGTGTTGGACTGGCCCCAGCCCTCGTTGAAGAGCACCCACACTGCGATGGACGCAAAGTGTGACAGTGAATTCACCATAGCCTGTACAGTCGACAGAAGCTTGCTAAAGTTCCTTGCGAAAGCGCATGCCAGCTGCAAGAGCGAAGGTGTACCAGAAAGTTTGCGCTTCAGGATGAGCTTTTGTGTACGTTGTATGTAGCAAATCTCACATGGCTGATCGTTTTGCCTGTCCTGCAGCTCGGTTTCGAAGGCCGCCTGACTGGCTGGCGACCTTCGGATCTCGTTGAAAAGCGTCTGCGGCAGTGAGACATTCAGCCTGTCAGCAATTTCTTATGGCATGTTGAATACGTAGAATTTCTATACTTTTGTTTCTTCTTCTCTCTTTCTTCAGCTTTCGGTTTGCGGCTGAGGAACTGAGGGATGCCCACTCCAAAGTGCAACCAACAGCATTCAAGTCAACTTTGTTCATGCAAGGAACGAGAATCTTGGTGTTGCTCCGTTCCCATACACGTGCCCACACAAGCCACAGCAACTAAGTAGAAGTAGTACAGTCGTGAGGCTGGGAGCTTGTCATCACAACAAGGAGTTTCTTGTGTGGGAGCTGGCTGTAAAGCAGAACAACTGAAAAACATGAGAATCAACAGGATTCACAATATCCCGTGGCACGCTCGTTCTCTGTTTGTCTCTCGCTGACATTGTGCAGTCCAAGCATTGGGGCACAAAGAAGCCACCTAACTGAAGAGGTCGTTGGTCACACAGCACTCCCAACGTACCAGAATGACAGGCATCCCCATTGCTAGACTATATGGTCTGGAAGGGTAAGGGATCAAACGCCGAAAAACAATTAAACAAACCAAAGCCAATCATAAACCAACACCCAAAACATGATAAGCATCATGAAAAATGATGTACACTGGTGACAAAGACTTCAAGACATGAAAAGCAATGAAAGCTGATGAACATTTTTGCAGAAGAATTATGGCATCTGGGGGAAAACATGAAAAGCTATGGAACATGGTGAACCATGATGGAAAAATCAATGGTGGAAAAGATGGAAATGACGGTAAAAAAACATGAAGATTTATGAGGCATGATGAAAAACCATGGGGATTTAATGAAAACTGACGACAATGAATGCAAAGACATGAACGTTATTCATAATTGTTTGAAAACGTTGCAGTTGGTGAAAACGGACGAAAATCATGAACACTCATGGAACTGCTGAACAGTGATGGAAAATACTGAAACATGATGAGTATGATTTTCTACTGATGAAACATAATGAAGAGCTATGACATGAACTCAAATCATGAACAATGGCAGTCATCGATGGCGTTGAAAAACAGGGTGGGGTTGGGGGGGCACAGCCTCCCGCTCCATTTTTGCAAAGAAAATGATGCCAAAAACCTCCCTTGCTGCAAACATAGACTTGACATGACATCATGAAATGATGATGATTGCAATAATGAGGAGTATGATGAAAAAGATGTAATACAATGGAATACAAAGGAGCATGATAAACATGTAAAAGCTTGATGAAAATTGATGACATGTGGTGAAAATTATGAAAAGTCATTGCTTATAATTGAAACTTATCAAGCTGATGAAATATGAAGACCATGAAAATGAAAATGTGCTCAAAATCATGAAAGCCAATGAAGCATGCTGAAGGATGGGGACTTATGATGAAACATCGCCAGCTAGAAACTAAGCCAACATCGAAGCCAGCATTGCTGGAGAGCAGGTCAGAACCAGCATGCTGCTGCAAGTTACATGCATGGCTCCCTTGGGAACCCAAGTATGTATTTCTGCTGTAAATCCGTTGTGCGCAAGGCATGTGAGAAAGCTTGAAAATCTTGGTGTTGTTACGCCAGAGTTCCCAACGCCATGTGGAGGTGTCGGAACTACTGCCCTTGTACGTAGCACATGTAAGTAAGCTTTCGGATGTGAGCCTGGAGGTGTCGGGGTGTCGGAGCTTATGGCTAAAGAATTGGAAGTCATTCCTCTTGTCTGAAGTTCGGAATGTAACACATCTGGCTCGTTGCCACAAGGAGCTGCCCGACATGGACAAGAGCGATGCCAGTGATGCCGAACAAGAACACTGCAGACAAAATCAAGAGAGAGGAACCTTGTTCTCCTTCTGGATTTTTTCTGTCTTGCTTTCTGATTTTTTGTCTTTCTTTTCTTTGTTTACTTGATTTATTTCGCTACTTCTTCTTCTATTGGCTCTGCTGACCCCCTATTTCTGTATTTCGCTCTTTCTTTTTTGCTTTCGCTCTCTGTCACTTTATCTTTTTTATTCTTCTCTTTTCTTTCTCTACTTCTTTCTTCCTTTCCATTTCTTTCTTTCGGGCTTTCTCTGTGTACGTATCTGTCTTTCTTTCGTTCTTTCTTGCGGTGTTTCTTTCATTCTTTCGTTCTCGTCGTCTTGCTTCCTGCCCGTTCTCCCTCTCTCACGCAGGCTGGAAATGTCAGTTGCGTCTGAGCAGTGGCAAGTAGCTCTCACGCCCTCAACGAAAAGACGAGCAGATCCAACCATGATTACCTTCTGAAGGTGCATGGCGCTGTGACGGGCACTAGTACACAGATCGTGAGTGACGATGGCAACTTCCTCCACAAAAAACTGGAACACGAGAGGGCCCAAGGAGGAGAGCATGAGAACGTATGCCACTAACCAGCATAGAGCCTGGCAGGTCTCACCATGTCGGTAGTTGTGTCCAACCCTCCCCCGGTGGAAAAAATTGCCATGAAGACCCAACTCATCAATCTAGATCACTATGGGTCAATACCAATCAACCTGAACCTGGAAAGGTAATCTCCATCGTTCCCACGTATCACTCCGTGTGCCCGGAAAATCCAGAGCCAGGTGCAAAGCATGATGGCGCACTACTGCATCTTCATGAGACTGCTACTCTTCTTTATCCATGTGGGTGGTTGTCAGCATTATGGTCCCTTTTTTGATCCCTATTGTGATACGGCACCTAATATGTAGGGTACCCAAAAAAAGGGACCATAATTTTGGCAATCACCCATGTAGAGGTCTGCCAAATGCTGCTCGGCGAGCGCAGGCAATTGCAGAACATGTTTAATAGTGGTCGGGCCTCTGCACTTCTGCGCTGATCCTGATTGTCACTGTGCAGTTGTGGCACTCGTACTTGTGCTGATTGCAAAGAAAGAATTGATCGCTTGGGCGCACAGCTCGTGTAAACTATTGCCTCGGCCAAGTCTCTCTTCTTCGGCCATGGCACGGTCATCAGACCATACTGGCATAGCACGCATGTCCCCGGCCGGCATGTCCTACAAATAAGATGCTTAGACGATGTTCGACGCTCCACAATTCACAAAGCCAGCGGGCTCGCTGCACGAACAGCCTGAAATACGAGCAAGCCGATCTTGTCGCACATGGCATAGAATGCTTCTCCCATCACCACGGCATGCACTCGTATGGTGTTGAAGCCAACTGCCTTGCCATGGCTGTTCCCTGACCGACCTCTTGTTCGCCACACAAGGATGGAAGGCATCTAGAGCCTTGATCAACTGAAGGTCCCGTTGCATCGCCTCCATGTCCGGCGGAGTGAGCAAGGACTCTGGCCAGTATCCCTGAGTTCTATCGGCAACAACACCGCAGGCGGTCATTGTATTTAGGACAGCTGATACTTTGGAAAAGATCTTCCAAGCTCAAGCAAGTCCACCTGGTAGAGCACCCCGTGGACAAACACCACCTGGCAGGGCGGGAGGAATCCACATCATGTCGCATACTCCTTCAAGCGTTGATGGAACTCCTTCCTTCCTTCCTTCCTTCCTGATTCTGGAACGTCTAGCTCTAGGGAGGATATCGAGGCAAAGCAGCGCATCGAACTACTAATCCAAGAGATTCCAAGAGTAAGATCCTTCACGGCATAGAAGCTCGGCCTTGCCGTTCAAGAGCAGCCGACCGTCTCGCACTGAAAGAGAACGATGAGCGAAGCTTCGTGTGACGCCGTCAGTGAGCCCAAGCGACAAACGTGCTTCATAGCAGTTGGGCTCCTGTGAACAGCACGGCTTTCCCAGCACCTGCATAAGTAGTTAGTAGAGACTGCGTGACAACATGGATTAATTTACATGCATATTATGCAAACTACTTTCTGTGCATCCTCTGTTGACCATGGCTGCAAATCTTCTTGGAGTTCTGCTTGCCTCAGCTGACTGACTTCTTGCACAACCGCTCACAGAATTGGACGGCCCTGGTCATAACTCAATCTCGAAAACAGCTACTGGCATCCGTCACAAACCTTTTCGTGTCGTCACAAGTCGAGCCGTGGCTGATGCTCAAATTGCTGAGACTTTTGCTCCAGCGTGAGCAACAGCTAGTCCACGGCGCTATCAAGCAAAGCTCCGGCACGAGCCACTGGACGAGTGATCTATTTGCACTTGTTAGCAGAGTGGAGCTCGGAAGTACAGCCAGTGCCGGTATGTTCTGGCATTCTACGGCTGCTTGAAGAGGCTACTGTGGCGTGCAACAGGCGGTAGGGTCGCCCGGGCTTAGCCGACTGATGCAGATGGGTCTGGCAGTGGAAAACGACAGTGTTACACGGCAAATCAAACACTTGAAGCTGTGCTTTTGCTGGCACATTTGTTTTGGAGGGGTTGACATGAAGATTGAGCAGCCGCAATGTTCGCTGCCCTGCAACAGGTGTCGTTCCTGTTCACCGCGCGCATTGCGCGGCAAAATATTGTCAAAGCTCTCAATTTGAGGAGCTTTTCCGAAAGACTTGCTAAGAATTCAGACAAAAGAAGCATTGAATTAGCAAGTGGGGTGCAGTGCAACAATCAGGCATCTGGATCATCTTCACACGGTCCAGGTCGCCAAGATTGGGGAACGTACACCACACGCCGCTATCCATCACAAAGAAAAGCTATGTTCGTGCGGTGCTGCTGTTTTGCTGGCTGCGCCGATGCAACAGCAGTCATCAGGCTAGTGCAGCTTGGCATTGGCGGCCAGCTCCTTGATTTGGTAGTCGAACCACTGACCTGCTTCGGGTGCACGAGGCTCATCCG